CCTCCCCACTCTTCCTCCCCGCTCCCTTCCCAGTTTCTGTTCACTTCCCAAATTACTCGGATTTTTCTTGCTTTGTTCCCGGGAATCTGGCCGGGAATTTGGAAGAGGGACAGTTGGCTGGAGGGCCTGGAGGATGGGGAGGGAGGGCGAGGAGGAGGGGACTGCAGTTGGGATGAAGGGAAAACCTGAAATCCAGTTTTTGTGGAGGTGCAGGGGGTGCTGGGCATGCAGGGACTCCGTGGGGAGTGAGAAGATTGGGTCTAAAAGTGCACGGAGAAGGGATGGTGTGTGGGGGTCAGGAGAGGGATGGGGTGAATGAAAAGAAAAAAAGCTGAGTTGATGGTTAAGCACTGACTGCTGGTGGGAGGAAGTCTGTCAAGGACAAGGAGAGGAAGAGCGGCACTGAGGAAGGGGCAAGAGACACTCTCCCTGCAATGCCATCTGGGGGAAACAGGTGTCAGGGGGGCCATCCTGGGCTAAGATGATAGGAGGGGCTTGGGGGCAAGGAGTGAGGTAGGGAGGCTCACCTTGAACAAACTGTTGGAAACTCTAATATTGTGGTGGGGCCNCCCAGGGCTGGTCCTTAGAAGATGCTCAAAGGAGGTTACTTGAATTGAGCATCATTGACTTGGAAAGGTGTGGGGTGGGAAGTGTGTGTATGTGTGCACACACACACATGTATATCTGCCTCAAGACAAGGTTCCTATTGAGAAGTATTTGAGTGGCTGTCCCCAGGGTGGCTAACCCTGGGGGGACAGAGCAAGGGCCATCCAAGGCTGTGGAAAGAAGAAACTAAGAGTGTGTTTTAGGTGGGAATGTTGTTGGAAGCAACACTGATGTGTGTGCAATAATCAAAGGGGAACCTGTGCCCTCTCAGGCCAGTGGTAGATGGAGCCCTGGGGACCCAAAAGGTCTGATCTGATCTGCATGCCTATCCTGGGCAGGAGAGGGGCCTACCTGCCCTCGTCAATGAAGTCGATGGCCAGGGTGCTGATGATGAAGACGCACAGGCCGGCGATGAACATGTGGTAGATGGTCCGAAAGTGCTGCACCTCCATCAGCTCGCTGGAGGGAGAGGGGCCTGCATGTCAGTGTGGAAGGGTCCCCAAGGTCATGTGGACTAGCTCAGGCACCATACACATGTGGGGATGGGGTCTAGTGATTGGAAATTCTAAGGGCTGGGATGTGACTAGGACATGTGTCCAAAGCCCTTTCTAGCCCAGACACATTTAACCTGGTGGCCTTTCTTCCACAGCCACACCCAGGGCAAATAGGGAAACTGAACCTTAAAATTTTTTTTCTAGGTTCTCTCCCAAACCACCTAGAGCCTGGGGGTGAAAACTGAGGTATCTTGGACCCCCAGCCAAAGCCCTTTCTTTTCCCCCCAACCTGTCCTCACCCTTGACTTACTCAAGCAGAGACTTGCGGATGATAAAGACTTTACGTTTCTTCAGAGATGGCTCCTGGGTACTGAATTGAGACAGTTGTTCTGAGTCGGGAACCAAAGGAAGAAGGCAGTGGGCAGAGGGCAGGACCTTGCCAAAGATCAATACTTGGAAGCCCAGGGTAGTAGTAGCAGAAGGTCAAGGCTAGGGCTAGGGGGCAGGACCAGGCAGAAGGTCAGGGCCAGGGCAGAGCAGGGCTGGAGGTGGAGGTCAGTGCCAGGCAGGCAGAGGCAATAAAAGGACAAGAGGGGAAGCTGAAGTGAGGGTCACACCAGTGCTGGCAAAGGGCACATGGGATGATGATTATAGCTTGTAATCTTACAGTGGAGAAGTCTGCTCCAGCCATTCCTCAGCCCCTGGCTCCTCAGACTCTTACTTGTTCAGAGAGCCTGGAGGAATGGTGGGCAGAGGTCTGCCTTGTGATGGGTAGGATTGTACCGCCTCCGACATGGCGCGATCCAGCAGCTCCTGCAGCTGTCTCTGTGCTTGCTCCAGCAGCTGCGCCTTCACAGCCTGCAGGACAAAGCAGGGCCCACTGTCCCTCCAACCAGTTCACCATCCTCTCATTCACTCAACTGAGCTTCTCTCCATACACACAAATGCTAGGGTTAGAAAGCGTGGTTTCTAGCCTGGCTGCGCGTGGCTCAGCGGTTGAGCATCGATCTAGGATCCAGAAAGCGCGGTTCCTGCCCACAAGTTCCCCAATAATTTATCTCCCTCTGCCTTCCCAGGGCAGCAGTGAGGATCAAGGAGAAATAGCAGTAGCAACATTTCCAGTCCCAACCACCTTGTCATCTCCGACTTGACTCTCTTCTCCCTGACCCCAGCCTTCCCTCTCCTGACCTCTAGCCCCACTAACAGAAGACTGTTTGCTGTTGGACTTTTGGCCCCTGCCCTGATGACCTGTGTTTCAAACCTCCTCATCTGAACCCTTAGCTCTCACCTGATCTGAGGGGTTTGAACCCAAAAACCTCCCAAAAACCAATTGTCTTTATCACCAAACTGGTCCTCATCCCTACCTCCCTCCATTCCAGGACCTGTCCATCTTGACCTCTGACCTCTAAGGTCCCTCACCTCCATATGTTGGGTCCATTGCACCAAGTCAGGGCCTTCAAGTGCCTCAGCATTTCCTAAAAGGAGGGGTCAAAGGGCACACACAAAGGGGAGGGGTTAGGGTTCTACTGCCTGGTGTAAGCCCAGAGTTATCCTTTGCCAGGAAATGCTTTCTGTGTGCTCAGCAGCCTCCCAGCACCCCCACCCCCCACCCCATCAGAAGATATCTAGTATCATGGGTGGGGCAGTCAGAAGGGGAAGTTATTTTGTCAGAGAGTGAGCAGGGAGCCTGATGGTGTTACTGGAAACAGGGTACTCAGAGAACAGGAAGCCTCTCTATTCACCCTCTGAGGTTAGAGCGTCAGAAAGACAAGGCAAGGCCACAGCTCTGAATGTCCCTTTTCTTCTCCGCCCCTTCTCTGTCTCCCAGCTGGGTGGTTAGGGGCAGAGTCCAGAGTCTGCCTTCCCAGGACAGCAGGAAGAGTTTCAGGTAGAAAGCAGGAGCCCCTTCTCAACAGGATATCCTCACCTCTAAACCCACCTGAGCATTTTGCACTCCCAGAGGGCGGCTCACCTCCTGCCGGGGGTTGGTTCTCCTGCTCTCTTCTGGACCCTGCTCTCCTCCGAGATCGGGCTGCCTTTGGCTCCATGATGTCAGTCTTGACTGGGCAGCAGGTGGCCTCTACCGTGTTCCTTCGTTTCCTTCACAGTCTGCCAACCCTCTGAGCAACCATCTGTCAGCTCAGCTGACAGCTCCAAAGACTAAAGTCCTTTCAGGAGGAGGAGGCCTCCAGGAGCATGATAGGTTATCTGATCCGGAGGGCAGTGCTTCTCAGCCTCAGGCTCTGTGGACTGTTGCAGGGATGAACTAGATGCAACCCCGCAACAGCCCAACCACCACCCAGATGCCCAGCTCTGAGCAAGTGTGCTCTCCTTCCCACAGGAGTAGTGAGTATGCATGTGGTGGGAAGGGGGACTTTGCCTCTCTGAGGCTTATCACCTAGTATGGCTCACCTTCCAATCTCTTTCCCAGCAGGCTGAAGTCAAGGTGGACTCAGAAACTTCTTCAGATATCAGTACACTCAGCTCCCTTAGACCAAGAGATAAGGTGTGTGAAAGGACCTTGTCAACTTGAAAGCATTGTATGCATGTAATTAATATTCTGATGGGGTTGACACCTGTGACAATTGTGGAGCTGTGGCCCTTCCAGGAAGTGCTAGGTGCCAGTGTCCCTGAATGTCAGCTCTTCCCTACACCTGCTTGGTTAGCATGTAGGCAATATATTTAGCACCTAAGGAATGCCAGGCATTGTCATATAGGGAAGAACTAGATTTAAGTCCTCCCTTTATCATTTCCTGGCTGTGTAATTTTAGGTAAGTGACCCAAATATTTTTAAGCCACAGTTTCCTCCTCTGAAAAACTGGGGCAAAAGTCCCTACCTCACAAGGTTCCTGTAAGCACAAAATGAGGTAGTCCAGGTAAAAGCACGTGGGCCAGGGCCCAGTCCATGAGGGGAGCTCAATAAATAATTAAGTTCCTTCCCTTTTTAGTAGGATATAACAGAAGGTAAGTGCTTTGAGAGTTCCTCTTTGTTAGGGTCCTGCTGGGGATTAACTATTAATTCTTCCTCTCCCCTGTGTCCAAAGATCATGTTAGAAAAAAGATCACAATCTCAGACCAAGGCCGTGGGCTCAGTGTCTCTCCACCTCTATTCCCCTCCCCCCCCACTCCCTGGTGGGTAGCTGGGTGAGGCTTCAGGGCTTGAAGGCTCTGCCAATGCTGCCTCCTTCCAAGTGCAGCGGGAAGGACCGAAGGTAGTCTACAGGAAAGGAGAACTGCTGGGGGGGGGCTTTAAAGGGGGGAGAGAGAAGGGTCAGGGGCTCCAGAAATGTGAGGTGGACACAGAGACATAGACCAGAGACCCCCAAGCTTTATTAACACCCCAAGCCAACAGCAACAATCTTTCCATGTGTGATGCCCAGGGATGAGGGGGACAATAGGGCAGGGCCTGAAGGTGGAATGTGGGACTCAGGGCCCTTGAGTTACTTATTACTCAACAAATGACCCAATATGACAGCCCCATGCTCCTGCCAACAGCCCTGTGGGTCCCCATCCAGCCTTAGCCGCTGCTCCCGGTGGAGCAAGAGGAGCCTCCATTGCTGTCCGAGGATGCTGGCAGGGGCTGGCCCATCCGATCCACACACCAGCAGGGACCTCGGCGCTGCCCCTGTGAGGAGCGGCACTGGGGAGAGAGGCAAACAGATCAGAGGTGAGGCCAAGGCTCCAACAGGAGAGATGGGAGGGGTCCCATGGGTTGGGGAGGGGCTCCGGGCCCCTGAGTCTGAGTATGCAGAAACACCTGAGTTCTCAGGACCTCGAGTCCTGCTGAGTTCCCTTCCCTCGCTTCTCTTCTCCACCCACAAAACTGTGCCCATTCTTCTAGGCAGAACAGTAATTCTCGAAGGGTGGTTCCCAAACCAACAGCATCAGCATCATCAGGAAAGGAGTTAGAAATGCAAATTCTCAGGCTCTGCAGGTGGGGCTCAACCACCTCTAGGTGACTGACACCTCACGTTCGTGTGCCTGTGGGTGAGGTATTCTTTAGGCAGTCTAACTCCTCTACTACAGTGTGTGGTTGGTTATTTGCGTGGGCCCAGAAGTTGGGAGATCCTTAAAGGCAGGGACAGTGTCTTATTTATGCAACTGTGTAAGCCCCCCCCTTCCTGGTAGGGGCCTTGTACTGATGGATGGAGGAGAGCAGAGTGGCCTCACCTGCCGTTTCCGGTAGAAGCCCCTTTGGTCACAATTAGGCACATAGAGGGTGTGAGATCCCCGGAAGACTTCGGTCTGGAGTTGCTGTAGTACTGAGTCCAGATGTCTGCGGCATGGGCCCTGGGGGAAGGGAGAGCAAGCAGCTTAAAACTATTCCAGCTGAGCTCCACTGCACCCACCAGCCAGGCTCCCAGGGCTAACATGGGAGACCTTTCTGAGCCCAAGGAAGCAGTCTCGGATGGACATCTCCAGGGCTCCCCACCCGTCCTGCTCCCTGCCAGCCCCAAACGCACCATCTCGGTGTCTTGGACACCCCCAGGATTGGGCCTGGCAGGAGTGGTAGAGCTCCCCAGGTTCCTTTGTTGGTCTCTGCGGTTCATGTCCTGTTGGCGAGTGGTCCCCACTTGGGGTTTACTCTCCTTAGGATTCTCCCCTAGAGTCACAAGAAGATGGGGAAAGAAGAGGCCGGAAATCAGCCAGATGTCAAAGACCAGAACCAAGTGGAAAGAGCCTTGCTCACTCCTACCCACTGAAGTGGGAGGAAGAGAGGGGCTTTTGGAGCAGTAGAAGTGAGGGGGGGGGGCGTTAGAATCTGTCTCCACCCTTACCTTCTCCTGGCCTCAGCTTCTTTCTCTGGCAAATGGTATTATTACCTTTCCTAACAACATCCCCCGACTAGTTTTAAGGCTTAGAAGAGAGGAGCACTTTGGAAAGCAAAAATCGTGAACAAATCCAAATTCAATAGTTGCCCCTTATCTGTGGTTTCACTTTCTGTGAAATGTTAAATAAAAAATTCCAGAAATAAACAATTCATAAGTTTTAAATTATGAATAGTGTGATGAAATCTCTCACTCTCCTGCTCCTTCCTTCCTGGGACATGAATCATCCAAGGGCCCAGTGTCTCCTCTCTGTACATGCTCCCCATTCATTAGTCACTTATTAGCCTTCTCTGTTATCAGATGGACAGTCATGGTATCGTGTTCAAGTCACCCTTATTTTACTTAGTAATGGCCCCAAAGTGCAAGAGTCGTGATGCTGGCAATTTGGATATGGAAAAGAAGCCCAAAAGTGCTGCCTTTAAGTGAAAGTTCCCAATTTAATAAGGAAAGAATAAAAATTGTATGCTGAGGTTGCTAAGATCTACAGTAAAACGAATCTTCTTTCCATGAAATTATGCAGAGGGAAAAAGAAATTAATGCTAGTTTTGCTGTTGCACATCAAACTAGAAAAGTTATGGCCACAGTAAGTGCTTAGATGGAGAAGACATTAAGTTTGTGGGCAGAAGACACAAACAGGTAAAGTGTTCCAATTGACAGCAGTATGTTGCAACAAAAAACAGTGACCCTAGATGAAGACTTCAGCAAGGGATCCCTTGAAATGAGTGACACCAATACATTTACTGCAAGTAAGGGATGGTTACATACTCAGGAATAGGTTTGGACTGAAAAATATAAAAGTTATTGGAGAGGTTGCATCTGCTGGTGTAGAAGCTGCTGCCACATTCCCAGCAGAGTTGAAGTTGATTAGAGTTTGGTATTATCTTCAGTTTCAGTCATCCACTGGGGGTCTTGGAACATAGTCTCCAGCGGATAAGGGAGACTACATTGGGAGGCCTTGGTCTTGGGCTGAGAAAGACCTGGCTGTTCCACAAGAGGCCAGCAGGGGGTGCACCAAGTCAGGGAGATGGGGCAGAAGAGCAATGGATATGGGAGGGGTCAGCAGCAAGGAAATGGAACGAATGTCCCTGCTGTGACTCAGCCCACCTCTTCCAGGCTTGAGAAGTGGTTACTTTTGGGACAGTAAGGGCCTTTCCTTCTGGTCCCCTGTGGCTCAGCCCAGATCAACCCCAGTGGTCCCAGGAGAATGTGAGAGTCTGTCCTTAACCAAGATGGGCAGAGTGCAGGTTGCAAAAGTGTGGGAATGAGGGGCGTCCAACCTGCAGGTGGCTCCTGGCTCTGGGGAAATTTCACATATGGTGTCTGGGGGATCTGGGGCGAGCTCAGGATGGAACCAGATGAGGAAATAAGTCAGGGCATCATAGCATCAGGGTGAGGAAAAGGCAGAAAGGCGAGCATGAATTGCTTGGAATCCACCTACCTGTAAAATTAGATACTATGACCCCTGAAGGGATTGTCTCTCCCTCTCAGTGCCCAAAGCAAGCTCTGCTTGGGTTCCCAACCCTGAAACATAGTGCCCTCATCTGCCTACGACTTAAAAGTGGAGCCACTTCATCTGCGGTCTGGAGTCTGATATTCCTTCCTCCACACCCCTCAGCCCTTGCCCCTCATTTCCTCTGTTTAACACCCTATCGTGACTATGCTCCTACTGCCCCCTCTGACCTACCTGGACTACCCGTTAGGAGGATCCCTAGCAGCCTGGATGCTTGCACCTGGGATTGAAAGGAGCTCCATGTTAATTTCCCATCCCTTCCCATGGAGGAAACCAGGAGCTCAGATACCCCTGGGGTGGCAGATGTTTGCATTTCCTGCCCTCCCCGTCTCCCTGCTGTCCCCCATCTTTCAGGTTCTGACTTACTTCTGTCCCACCCACCCACTGACTCAGCCTTCTCTTCTCCACTCTGGGGTAGGGTGGGTGGCAGCTTTAAATCATAACCCTGATTTGGCAGATTCCTTCTTTTCTCACCTCTAGTCCCCACCACCAGGACCCCCAGCACATACCCTCTGACCCTGGCGTAGTCTGAATCAACTCTGGATTGAGGTCATCTTCTGTTCTAGACCTCATGTTCATGCCTTGGACACCCCAGTATTAAAAGGAGAGGAGGAGATATTTCTCAGTGTGTGCAGGACTTGGGAGTCTGGTGTTCCATTCTCTCTTTCTCCAAGTGGAAGCTGAGAACCTCTGGGTCCCTTCTCCAATTTGGGGGTCTAGGACTGAAGGAACTGGGCTGCTGTGGCATATGGCATGGCCATAAACCCCTCCATCTCCCCATCTCTTTTTCCTCAAGAGAAAGTAATAGAGGAGAGCAAAAAAAAA